GTTGAAGTTACACCACGGAAGTCTGCCCAAAAGTTATTTTGTGTTACTGATTGAAAGCTTAAAAAATTAGACTACTCCCTCTGTTTTTGAGGAATTTTAATAGAAGCCAATGCCTTATTTATGCTATATTCAAGTTAGGCATTGAATCGTTTGTCGTCTGTTTTTACGGAAGGCAGGGATGGACATGGATTGAAACTTGAAAAATCTGGGCCAACTTTTTCAAGTTTTAATGATTTGCCTACAAAAACCACCAAAAACTTAATATTATGGCTAGTGCGTGCTGCCTGATAAATTTTTTATATCTTTTTCATAACTCTACAGGACTGCACTTTGTGTATTGGCCGGTAAAGGCGGCGACCTTAAACAGCAATATTCGCTTGTCATAGCCCTATTAAGCTTCCTTTAGTGATCTTCACAGGCAGATAACTTATAAATTCTTATAAACTTCACCTTGACTTTAACCACTCATTTTGAAGATTTTGTCTATCTTACTTAGTCGTAGGATGCGGTCCTCTAGTCACTCCCGTTGGTGGCATTCTGGAGCCTGCGCGCTGCACTGGAGCAAACTCGAACTTCTACGGTGACAAGTGTGTCATGAAGTGTCAAAAGGGATATAACCTTTCTAACATGTCACATGGAATTCTCACCTGTGGCCGTAATGGACTATGGCAGGGGACCATGGGAACTTGTAATGGTAAGAACAACCCGCCAAATGCCACTCAAATTGTGCAGCGATTACAGTTTGCCAATTTGAAGGCGAACTTGAGACCACAAGAAACGAGTTTGTCCACCTTTTGCTTTCTTCCACTATGCCGCTTTTTTTCTGGTCCTCGAATTTCTTTACTTTCTTAAAATCAATTCGCGGCAACGCGTACACTATCAGCCTGCGAACAGGCTCCCCGTTTTGGTGGAAATGTTTTAGAATCTTACATTGCTTTTACAGCCTGTCTCACGAGGCCCACGAAGCTGCATAACAGATTAATTCATAGATCTTTTTTTGACTGATATGTTTATTTCTGTGTTATTTCTTTTGGCTTTTATTGATTTTAAACCCCCCAAGAAAGTTTAGGAACGTATTCTTCAACACGATCATATTTGTCGTTCAAGCTAAGGTGTATAATCTGTTTATTATTTACGAAGTGAACGAATGCCAGATTTCTCTCAATTTGTGCACCTCTTTGTCGACCTGCGAAAATAACTGGGACTCATACTACTGCAAATGTCCCGGCGGTTATAATAAAAAGGCAGGGGCAAAGGACCAGTGTGAAGGTAGCTCAACTGTTTATAATTCATTTTTCTTCTTCGTCTTAATAACAATGTGACCACGGTTTGTTTACAGGGGTAGATGGCCCTATAATAAATAGGGCAGGGGGGGGGGGGGGGGGGGGGCCGTGGGGGGGGGAGTGTAAGTTTTTTTATTTTAATTTGAGTTTTTTTGTCCTTAATTTTAAATATTTTGAGATATTTAAAGAAATCTTTCAACCCCTTTCCTGGATCCAAACCGCAAAAATGAGAACCCGCGGGGGGGCGATAAAAATTAATTCCC